CAGTCAATGAAATAAATCCATAACATTCAAGTGTTGGTTTCTATGGGGTTTGATTGATTGCTTAGAGGATTTCATCGCCGTCCTCGACGGGCAATGTTAGCTGATATAGGGTCAGGCAGGAAAAGAGCTAGCGGCGGTCAAACCAAAACATGGCACCAGTCAATGAAATCCACAACAGTTAGTCTAAGCAACGTAGGAAAGTGTAGACTTCCTGGTTGGAGTCCTCGGGACGGTAAAAACCAATGGTTGGAAACAATTGGTGACATGGCTCAAAATCTTTCTCAATGGCTGGCTGGTACAGATGCATCCACTCCTTGTGACTTATGATTTCCAATGAAACTGTTTTGTTCTTCGTTATTATTATTCCTTTGTCTCACACCTCTGTTTACTGTCTATATTATGCATTTCTCCTACTTTCTTCTCTTGTTTTGTGCGCTACAAGGAGAGAGTGTGGCGACTTGAACGGGTGCACATATGTGCAAAGTTCTATGTCGAAAACCGACCGACCGACCGACCAGTGGCTTAATGGTCTACAAGCTAGCTCGCCTTGTAACCAGAAGGTCCTGGGTTCGAACCCCGGTGGGTGTGTACTGGTGAAGAGTCCCAAACTAGGCTGACGAAACAGCTGGCTGTCCAGTACTCCCTGTGGCTGGTTTTCCAGTGGTTCTCTAACCAATATCAACTCATGATGAAATCCTGTACGGAATCCATAACAGTTAGTTTAAGCTTGATAGCAAGCCATGTAAGGAGGTGTACATTACATGACTGACTGACTGACTGGTTAGGGTGCTCGGGATAATAAGAACTAATGAAGGCTGAAGAAAATTGGTGATATGGCTCAGAATCATCGTTCTCAATGACAGCGCAGATGCGTTCAGTCTTCTGTTCATTATGTGTCGTTTCAACCTATCTTTGCTCTCTTCTCTCGCTTCGTGTGGGATATGGAGAGAGTGTGGCAACTGGAACTGCTGCACATCTGTGAAAAGTTCTACGTTGAAACTAACCAACCAGCCAGCATATATATATCGTGATGACTCAACGAGGTATGCTGAGTGAGACGATTGACCGAAATCATCTTCCACACAATGCAGCAAGCAGTAGAGAAGTACCAATCACCGAAACAATTCTATTTCATAGTACACCAGACTCATTTACACATAACCTTCTTCCCCCTCCCTCCCTCCCTCATTCAACTATATTCACTATTTGTTATACGTCGGTGGCACAGCGGTTATGACTCTCGCCAATCATGCACATGGGGTCCGGGGTTCGATCCCCGGCCACCGACGCACACCTGATATCTATGGTCGGCCTGCAAAATTTGGGCTACCGATATCACATGCTGAAAATTCCATACCTGTACCAAAAACTACGGTGTGGAATCAAGCTGTAATCATCAAAAATATTTTTTAAAATAAAATAAATTCCCCTCAGTTCTAATATCATTCTTGTTGTATCAATTACTCGGAATGCGCCGGGGTTTACCGTTAGTCTACATCAACCTTAGCTGCCGTCTATCGGGAAACAGCAGTTTCATGTGCCAAACCATGAAATAACCTCAGTTTCACATATCATTAAACACAACCTACTACAGATGATTGGATCGATGCAAGAAAAGCTAAACATAACAGACAAACACCATTGACAACAACAGTACAAAAACAAAAATATGAAATAGTGTTACATTCTCGGCTAATTATTATCTTAGGGTGTGTAATAATCTATATATAACATTGGCATGAGTTAACAATTAAGGTATTAATTAAATTTAGACAACGGTAGAAAACTGTGAATAAAAATGTTGACCTTCAAAGCGACACAGTGAGAGAAAGAGAGAGAAGAGAAGAGAAAAACTGGCGTTAATGGAAAAGATGTTGAATAGTTTAACTTTAATATAGCAAAACCTACACCAACTGACTGTCAGTATACTCATTCTATCAGCATCGTTACTTCGACATACAAATGTGATCTGATAAAATGCTTGGTCCATCACAGATCAAGAGCAATCTATTCTACTCTGATGAATGTCTCAATGAAGTGAGAACGGTTTCACCCAGGAAAGAAAATTCATCGATAAGAATATGATTCAAAAGTCAAGGCAGGTCAAACTACCAAACAAACAGTTCCGGAAAAGGAAAGCCTTCTTCTTACAACTGCACCTCTTCGGGGGATGATAACATCAATGAGATATTAACACAAAGCATAAGGAATGCGGCGGTAAAACGAACAACATTCAGTGGTGCTCAAGTATGCTGTGTATTCAAAACCACCACACCCCTATTTTGCCTGCGGGAGTAGTTAAAGATAAACTGCCTAATTCCGACACTTCTATCTGTGTGTATCTACCCTACCGATTTGACTGCTCCTGTGGAGTGAGTCAGTTAGTTGCATACGCCGTACAATGAGGCGTGTTTATCGTTGGATTTCCGAACACCACCATCCTGCATAGTGGTGAAGTGAGGGAGAAAGAAAATCCATTCATAGCTCTATTCTAACTCATCTTGTGGATACAGAACACAAGATTGATGTTAACGAGGCGGCTTTCAAAGTTATCTATTATATACTAACTAAGTTTAACTTTATCTTAAGAGTTCATCTACTACATATTGCTGAGGCTGGATGATGGGATCTACATTGAGAAACCTAACTTATGTATCCAAAAGAACAAGTCGGTTGATTCAGCGGCTTTCCTTACTCCCTTGGCCATCGATGATTAACGATCCTCAATTTGTGGTGGGAATTTGCTTGATTTCATTTGATATTCTATCTACTATTACATATTTATGCTTATTGTTATAACGTATGCGTCTTTCTTGAACTGTGATAATTCCACTGTGATCTTAGAAAGTCGATATTATTTTAGAAAAACATCAATATTGTTAATGACGATTATTCTAGAATATTCTGTATGTATAAATATACGCATATATATATATATATGTATATATATATATATGTATATATATATATATATATATATATATAATTGCAGAGCCTGAAGAGGAAATTATCCACAAAAAATATTCTTCGCTCAATTTTTTTAAATATTTCAATGAATATTTTCGGTATATTTAATAGTAAAGAGGACAAATTTCGTGACTCAGCATCAACAACAAAATGATTCGGATTTTCAATACAAACGTCAAGTCAGTCAGTTCTTCTATACGGATCAGGAACTTGGTGGGTCACAAAGAATATTTCCAACAGCCTGTTGCAGACCTTTATCAACAACTGTCTTCGCTCTATACTGAAGATCAGATGGCCAGAAAGAATCACCAACAAGAAACTATGGGAACAAACAAAACAAGAACCAATCGCCACTCAACAAATATGCAGGAGAAAGTGGAGATGGATTGGACACTCGCTGAGGAGGCCGCTGGGTGACATCGCGTGTCAGGCCAGTGCTTGAGTGGAACCCGAAAGGGGAGCGGCGAGTGGGACATCCAAGGGTGACATGGAGGAGATCGTGTGAAGAGGAGTTGAAACAGTATGGACTAACATGGATGCAGGTGAAAAGTACAGCAGAAGACAGAAGCAAGTGGAGACGTGTAGTTGAAGCCCTATGTTTCACTAGGAACCCAAAAGAACAATAATAATAATAAAGCGGACAAATTTAATTTGTGATCTAACTACGAAATTTGTACAAAATCGACATTTGAAAATTTCAACTGACAGTGATGCGCGTCAGTGAAGCAGGCTGGATATCATCTTTTTTGGTAAATCATAAGACCATGTTAGGTCCACTGACCACCGATGTCAGTGATTGAATGATTGATTGATTGATTGGTGGGGTTAGGAGGCGTTATATGCTACAAATTGGCAAAAGTGAGAATTCATAAGGTCACTGGATTCTATCTCAGTAAAGGACTCCCCAATAGTCAGTCAGTCAACGCGCTCGCCTAATAACCTGAATGTGATAAGTTTAATCTCCAGTGGTGGAGCCGTAAGACGAAGTAGCCAGCGCTAGTAACCCTGAGGTTTTCAATAATTCACTAAATTTTCAATAGTTTGGTTTGTAAGGGTTTATTATGTTTTTTTACGAGTTGATCACGGATTGATATCACCAGTTAGAGAACCATTGAAAATCAGCACTGCAGTACTGGACAGCTGTTTCATCCTAGTTTGGGAATCGTCGGCAGTACGCACCCACCCCACTACCAGGGTTCGAACATATGACCTTCCGGTTGTAAGACAAGCTAGCTCGTATACCATTTAGCCACTCGGACCTAATTCAATGGCCAGTCCATGAATTCTAACTTCTACCAATTCGTGATGGAAATTTAGCGCGACCACCAATCAATGTCATCAGTAGGAAATTCATCCTCACACAGTTGACTGGTTGGACCTCAGTGGTCACGACTTCTCACTGCAACTAACTCGAGGAAACTCCATCAATAGTAGCAAGTCACTAGCGAGCTGTCCAGTACTCCAGTGCTGGTTTTCGATGGTTCTCTAACTGATATCAATCTGTGATCAACTCGTAAAAAACGTAACTAACCCTTACAAACCAAACTATAGAAAATTAAGCTGATGCTCGGTGGTGACTGACTGGCTACAGGACGACGGAGTTTCCTGGAGTTAGTTGTAGTGAGAAGTCGTGACCACTGAGGTTCAACCAGTCAAGTGTGAGGATGAATTTCCCACTGATGATATTGATTGGTGGTCACGCTAAATGCATCACGAATTGGTAAAAGTTGGAATTCATGCACTGGCCATTGAAAAGTCGGGTGCCAGTGACTGAATGGTGAGCGAGCTAGCTTGACTTGTAACCGGAAGGTCATGGGTTCGAGTCCTTACAGTGGGTGCGTACTGCCGACGGTTCCCAAACTAGGATGAAACAGCAGCTGTCCAGTACTCCAGTACTGGTTTTCAATGGTTCTCTAGCTGATATCAATCCGTGATCAACTCATAAAAAAAATTCACTAAATGATATCAATTAATAATTCAATCAAAAAAAGCTAATTATTAACATTATAAAAAGAAGTCATTGAAAAACTAACCGATTTCCTAGATACAATTGTAAAGTGAGACAATGATCAACTGTAGTTCGAGTCCGTTCAAATTGACAATTTAATCGATCCAACAGTGAGGCATCAATGCCGCCAATATTACTAGATGTACTAGATGCATTCTCCATATGTTGAATAGTATTCGCCACTGTTTGTAATAATGCTTTACAATGAGCTATTGTTAAAACACCACTAGATAAGAGAAGAGAATATATGAATAAACATAAATGCTTAGTAAAAAAATATTTCTAGAAATTTCAAATAAAAGCAAATAACACAAATGACCTCATTTTCTGCATATACAATGAATGGAAGAGACTATATATGAGGTATCTTGTATTTTACTAATTGAATACTAGGAAGAAATTGATTTAATGTGTCTAGGCATTCGTTTGATGCAGACATTAGGTATCATCAGATATCCAATTAAAGTATTCATTATGGTCCTATTGTGGTGAGAGCTGGCTGCTAGCCAAAGTTGGTAGATAGTAATTGACGTCAATGTTTATGTCCCCAATATTGGTGGTGAGAAAATGAGAACAAAGGCTTTGCGTAGGCGGATACACAGTTAGCATATGGATGATCCGACACAGCCACAAAAAGATGCAAGGTTAACTTTCTGTGAGAAACAACCAATCAAAAGGCTGTATTTTCTACTAACAATAATCTACAATAATGTACATTGAAATCTGTGAATATATGTTGATTTTCCTTAATAAACGATCTGTTGCCTGGCCCTTGTCTTCTGTTGTGACATTTGGTGTTGCTGCCTACCGACAAATGGAAAGCCTATGACCTGCAGTTTTTGATGGAGACATATGGATCTTCGGGCAGGACTTCGAGGCTTCTTCGCAGTTGAGTGGCGTTCAAGATCTGTCAGTGATGAGGCTGCTACTTGGGACGCTGCTGGGAGGTCGGGAGAAAACAGCATATGAAAGTGTGAAGCGAAATACCTACGAATATGCGACAGGGTCAGGCAAACAGTTTCCAAAGTGGGAAGGACCACATATGGTCACGTTGAGATGTGGTTATGCAGACACAATCACAATAGTAAACACAGAGAAACAGGTGAACATCCACAAGCGCCGAGATTCCAGACAGCTAGACAAAAGAGCAAAGCCCCAAGAACCAAGAAGACCGAACCAACTTCATTCGCAATTCTTTGACGGGGGGACGAGTGTGGTGAGAACTAGCTGCTAGCCAAAGTTGGTAGACAGTAACTGACGTCAATGTTTATGTCCCCAATATTGGTGGTTAGAAAGTGAGAACAAAGGCTTTGCGTAGGCGGATACAGTTATTTTCTGCTAACAATAATCTACAATAATGTACATTAAAATCTATAAATATGTGTCGATTTTCCTTAATAAACGATCTGTTGCCTGGCCATTGTCTTCTGTTGTTACACTATTATAATAATTATTATTATTATTCCCTTGGGTTCCGAGTGGAACAAACGGCTTCAACAACAAATCTCCACTTCCTTCTACTCTCTGCTGTCCTCTTCACCTGGTTCCATAATGTCTCATCTCTTTCTCCCCAATACACCATCGCCTCCATGTGTCACCCTCGCACTGACCACCACCCCCCTCATCGCTTCCCATTCACCCTTTCCACTCGAGTAATGGCCGGTAGTATTGGGCGCAATGTCATTCAACAACCTCCTCACAATGGCGTGTATGCCCGATCAATCCACCGCCATTTTCTCCTACATATCTGTTGAACATTCAAGTATTGGTTTGTAGGGATTTGATTGATTGCTTACAGGATTTCATCATGAGCTGATATTGGACATCTGTTTCGTCCTAGTTTGGGACTCTTCACAGTACGCACCCACCGACACGGTTCGAACCCAGGGCCTTCTTGTTACAAGGCGAGCTAGCTTGTAGACCATTAAGCCACTGGGAACAGATTCAATGGCCCATGAATTCTAACTTCTGCCAATTCACGATATAGCGCAACCGCTAGCCAATGTCTTCGGCGAGTATTTGTCCTCACACCCGACCTGCTGCACCCTACTGGTCACGACTTCCCACTGGAACCCCAGGTAACTACCTACCTGAATAGGGCCAGTCGCCAGTGAGCATTTCATTGATATTCAAGTATTGGTTTGTTGAACAATAGACTCTTCGTCGGTTCGTTCATCGTCAGAGTTGGCTTCTTACTAATTCTTTCTTGCCAACCCGGTTGGCCTGGCATTTGATCTTCAGTATAGAGCCGGTGAAGGTAGCTGTCGATAAAAGTCTGTACTAGCCTGTTGCATATCCTTTTCGTGACTGACTCACACCCAGTGCAAGTTTCTGATCCGTATAGAAGAATTCACTGACTGACTGACAGCCTTCACATTTGTGTTGAATAGAATCCTGTTCTTTATACTGAGTGAGTGTAGAAGATTTCCAAAATGGTTACGGGTTGGTGAAGGGGTATCTTGCCTTTCCAATTCTAGCTGAACTTTGACATCCACCAGTGGTTGAAACCGTGCTTCCTGGCCAGATAAGTGAAGCAGGAGGTAACCTCTGACAAATCTCTCCCGCTGATGGTGATTGGAGCTGGTTGTTGTTGCTGTTGGTTGGTTATCTTAATCACCTCCATCTTCATCTGCAGTCATGTCTACGTTGCACTACTTCTTCCGCCAATTTTTTTGGTTTTCGCCTGCCTGCCTGCAAGTCTTCGAGTTTGTGTGTGTGTGTGTGTGTTTTTGACCTCAAACATAAATCATTCACACACGAAATCCAGGTCTTCTAGAGTCTTCCTACCGATCAGTCCAACGTATTCGTGTCTTCCAACTCCCTGTGCACAGTCTGACGCATAGACCAGTCCACAACAATTAGATATATCATCGGTGATACCATTACAGTCCTGAAAGAGGTCGACTGAGAGCCCGAATAGCAGCTGTTCAATAGTAGCGTCTCTGACTACAGCACTGGGTGACTACCAAGGTTCAAATCTCAGAAAGGACATGGGTTCCTTCAAGACTGCAGAGATAAGTCTTGTTATGCCTTGAATGACAACAAACAAGTCGAAAACCTAGGTGGTTCATCAGTTAGAGACAGCTGTCCAATACTCTATGCAGATTTTTCAATGGTTCTTTAACTGATGTTAGATCATGATGAAATCATCCAATCAATCAACAACGAAAAATCCCTCCAAAAACAAATACTTGAAGTCGTGACCAGTAGAGTGCAGCAGGTGGTAGGGTGTGAGGACAAATACTCGCCGAAGACATTGGCTAGCGGTTGCGCTATATCGTGAATTGGCAGAAGTTAGAATGCATGGGCCATTGGATCGGGTCACAGTGGTTTAATGGTCTACAAGCTAGCTCGCCTTGTAACCAGAAGGTCCAGGTTTCGAATCTCGGTGGGTGCGTGCTGATGAAGAGTCCAAAAATAGGACGAAACAGCTGTCCAGTACTCCCAGGTTTTCCAATGGTTCTCTAACCAATGTCAGCTCATGATGAAATCCTGTAACCAAATACTGGAAAAATCCGTTTAAGCCATGAGTACATGTAATTTGGAGACAGTGTGGTAATGAAATATATTATTTAAAAATTCTACAACAGCGAGAGAGACAAAATAACCTACTTGACTGGAATTTGTGGGTCAACACTGAGTCCACAAATTTTCATCGATCTGATCAATTCACGACAATCTTCTTGCATTAATTTGAATGGAGCTGAAAGGGGATAGGTAAATCAATATAAGGAACTATATATATATATATATATATATATATATATATATACAGAGTAGAAAATATTACTATTATATTAGAGACGATAATAATGACCTACTGTAGAATATATATGTATATATAATCAAGCTTACTGCTGCTGCTCAATTCACTGACACTATCCGACAAACAGATTAATTAATACATACAACACGATGGAAACAATGGGGTAAGGAAGAAGTAGAGAAGCGAAAAAGCAACATTGCAATGCCTTCATTCATCAAGCTGAAACCAGTTTGGAAATCTTCTGCTTCCCTCACTCACTCACTCAGCCAGCCTTCGCCACTGTAAAGTGTAAGATGCTGCTACAGGACTGGACTACGTCAACTCCCAGCTTAGTGATAGGGAGTGAAGTGTTAGAACATTTTGACCATTTCACCTATTTGGAAAGTTGTATCAGCACCAACGGTCTGATTGGCGACGAAATCTCAGCACGGATCCAAAAAGCTCGGGCTGCTTTCGCAAACTCACGCCATCTCTGGCATAGGCGTGACATCCGGCTATCAACCAAGGGACGTGTGTACTGCTCAGCAGTTCGCTTCGTCCTTCTCTATGGCTCTGAAATATGGCCAATACGAGTTGAAGACATGAAAAGGTTGACTCTTTTCGATCACAGATATCTACGATCTCTTTCTCACGTTAGGTGGTATAATAAGGTAAGTAATGTAGAGTCTTGGGCAGAGGGGGAAAATCAGTCGACGAGGCTATGAAGTTACATAGATTGAGATGGTTAGGTCACGTGCTGCGAATGCCTAACCATCGCCTCCCCCGATGGACGGGCATTACTAGCTGATATAGATGTTGTGGGTTGGAAAAGAGTAAGTGGTGGTGGCCAAACAAAAACATGGCCTCATCAATCCATGAAATCCCTGACAGTTAAACTGAGTCAGGTAGGGAGATGCAGTCTTCCGGGTTGGGGCCCGCCTTCGGGACTCTAAGAATCAATGGCTGGAGACAATAGGTGACATGGCTCAAAATCGTTGTCAATGGCTTACGCAGATGTATTCAGTCTCTGTAATCGTTCATATTCCTTTCTACCATTACTCATTCTGTTTCACTCTTATACTTGTCAAAACTCTATTGATTCTCTTCACTCATCTTTTTGTCTACCATTGTGTGCTATTTGGAACGTGGCAACTGGAACTGCTGCACTTGGGTGCCAAGTTCTATGTTGAATCCAGACAGACAGACAGATCTCATTCATCAAGCTGAAACCAGTTTGGAAATCTTCTGCTTCACCCACTCACTCAATCAGCCAGCCAGTCAGTCAGTCAGCATGAAGAACAAGATAGTTTCGGATTCTGTTCAACACAAATGCGAAGTCAGTCAGTCAGTGAGTCAATTCTTCTATACAAGTGGCTTCGCTGGCTGCATAATGAAGATCAAGGATTAGCAAGAAGAAACTCTGTCTGGGAACAAACCAGCCAGCGAACAGCCAATTACTTAAGAAATATATTGGAGAAAATGGACTGATGGGACATACGCGGCACTGAGGAGGCCGTTGGTGGAATGATATCGCGGTCGATGCAGGCCATCGCTCGAGTGGAATGCCAATGGGAAGGGACGAGTGGGTCGTCAGTGCGAAGGTGACATGGAGGAGATGAGAGATTGTGGGCAATCGTGGGCACAGCCAGATGAAGAGGACAGCAGAAAATAGGATAGAAGAGAGTGGAAATGTATGCGTTGTTTTAAACCCTTGTTCCACTCGGAACCCAAGGGAATAATAATAATAAGGCAGGTAGAGTAGTTGTTGGCAAATGTTAAGAATTCGGAACATAACCATTTTATGAGCACATTTTTTCCCACAATAACCAACATTGCGATGGACAATCAAGAGTAATTAATCAATAATTATCCACGTATCTAACTTCATTTGGTCAGTTCGGACACAATTAACTACAAAATATTTAATGTACCATATGATGAGCTACACAATTATTCTGTGATGGCTGATGACACTATTATGCAGGCTGAAATCCGAGAAAGAGATCCACTAGCTGAAAGTGACACGCTCAAGCCAATTAACTACTACTTACAGTGAAGTAACAATATAACAAATATATCAAATATTCTACAATTTCTCAAGGATTTCTGCCTAGTAATCTGAATGCGTTTATATATAAAGTGTGAATAAGAGAAATAATAGCAATTATCCACTCGGCGCATTAACAGCTTACGAAATATCACGTGTTCGATAACAAAAAATAAAGTATGTAAGATGGGATTTTATCACTGGGACACAGCAGAATAAAATCAAAAACCGGTGTTTACTAACGGTTATCCAGTTATTTTCATTGGACACCAGTAACTAGTGTGACGTGCCTAGTCCTTTCTCTGGTGCAGACTGAATTCTTTCAGTCAAGTTTGCAATGTGGAGCCACTATTCTTTCTGGGTAGCTCGCCATCACGATGCACAATGATTTGATGATATTGTTCAGAGACTTAGCGAGTCACCAATAGCATTTCAAACAGTCTGTAGACTGCCTTCACTGGATGTATACCGTGAAGATCAAATGGCTGGCTGGCTGGCCAGAAAGAATTAGCAACAAGAAACTCTGGCAGACGACGATCAACCAACGAAGTACCCACTTCTCAACAAATATGCTCAGAAGGAAATGGAAATGGATTGGGCATACACTGTAAACAGATCATCGAGGGACATCAAACACAAGGCCCTCAAATGGAACCCGAATGGAAAAAGACAAGTTATGCGACCGACGATGACACAGAAAGGAAATGAAAACACATGGAGGACAAAATCGTGGAGCCAACCAGCTAATGAATAGATAGGACTGCTGAGGAAGGGAAGGATGAAATAGAGATGTATACTGTGTTGAGACCAGCGTCATGACTAGTAGTATTCAAAAACAAAACAAAACAACAACAAAAAGTTAACACAAAAATATTATTATTATTGAAAATTATTAAAGTTAAGTGAGAAACACATACCAAGAATTTCTTCATAATATATCACTTCAGTTAGGCATGATTCCAACTTTCCGTGCAACTGTTTCGTTATGTTCTGTAAATCATTTTGTATGTCAATAGGGATAAGATTGGATAGATTCTTAAACATGCTTAAATCAGATGACCTTGACGATAACAGAATTGGTGAAGAGGTTGACGACGTGCTACTCATCGACGAGATTTCATTCAATAAATTAGCCCATGTATGCGTTAATTTATGAAAATCTGATAAGTGTTCAGATCTGTCTAATGGGGTAATGAGATCATTCAGTAAACCACTTGTACTACTACTACCACTACTACTGTTATCAAGTTTATGAGTAGTATTCAGTGACGATGCTGAAAATGGTGATGATAAAGCCCAAGTAGAAAGGAGTAGGCCAGAAATAAAACGTTGCATAGCTAAACGATCTTTCAAGTGCAGTTGGCATAAAAGTTGACCGAAGATATAGTTGATCATACTGATTGATCCGTTATTGTTATTATTGGCTGAAGGAAGCGTTACAGACGGCGGAGATTCTGAAATATCTGAGATACACGGTAATAACTGGTTTGGGATGAAGTCAGTGTACTGGCAGACACGTGCACATAAATTCGCCAAAACGCTATAAAACCAAAAGAAAAAACACATAAGAAAGGAAAAAAATGTATAACGCACCTCTACTCGAATAGTGTTATTTGGTTAATGATAAAAGCTGGTTAAGTATCTGTGCGGAGATTCGACTAGTTACAGGTCATATAATAAGCTGACATCAGTTGAAGAATCACTGGGGAATCAGAGAGTACCACCACCAAACAGTCGTTTCGTCCTAGTTTAGGACTCTTCATCAGTATAACATAAGACGTTTTAGCAACAAGGTGAACTAGGTGACCATCTAGCCGTTGGCGCCCGGTCCACTTTCTGCCAACCTGCGATATGCAAAGCGCAACCGTCAGGCAATGTCATCGGCGAGTAAGTAACTGTCCACTCACCTGACTTAGTGGACCGTACTGATCACGACGTCTTACTAGAATCCCACGTCACTTTATGGCTCTTTAGAGGAAGACACCTGGAGTCTTAGTGAGAAGTTGTGACCAGAGGGGTATACTACAATCGGAATTGATATGTTTATCATTCTATATCAAGTGAGCTAGTTATGGAGGGGATTGGGGGGGGAGGAGGACTGAGAATCCCGAGTAATATGTGCGTAATGTAATACGGAGTTTATGTTGGAACTCAACAAGCTGCAAAAGATATCTCACACACCAGGTTGTAAGCCCTACATACTATGTGAGGAGGCATTGTGATACACTACCTAGTTGATAAGGATAAATTAGGTGCAACAGGACCAGAACTCAGAATTCACTAAAGTGAAATAAGAAAGGCTGAAAACCAGAGAAGGACAACTTCGTAGTGATGAAGAATTCTGAACGCGCACGAAAGGCACTTAGAACAAAGTACAGACTTTAATCGACAGATGTATTCACTCAACACCACTCAATATCAAAAGGCTGGCAAGAAAAGACCAGCAACAGGGATCTCTGGCACTGAGCGAACCAACCCAGCAGGAACCGATTGTGCAACAAATATGCAGGAAGAAATAAAGGTGGATTGGAGGCCATACTCTGGGAAAAACATTAAGTGACATCACACGACAGGCCATGGCTCGAGTGGAACCCGAATGGGAAGCGGTGAGTTGGTTGTCAGTGCAAGGGTGACATGGAGGAGGTCATGTGAAGAGAAGATGAAAGCATGTGGGCAGACGTGGAGCCAGGTGAAAACGTTGGCTCGCCTTCACGGTGCACGAACCCAAGGTAGTCAAAGGATTCCTGTGGCCGATTGCATCTAACCATCTAATACCAACAATTCACAGTACAACATGACGGCTAGTCACCTAGTGGCATGTTGGCCACAGCACTCCAAACTTGACTGATAGAATCCAGTTTGCATCAAAGATAGGAGGACTAGCACACACTACACTAGTAAATGACTAGTGTCCAATCAAAAATAATTCACTTACACATTAGTAACTGGGATAGGATAAACAACTGCTCGTGTGGAGCTAGGTTATATTAGGTTTAGGAATTCAATATTTCGTGCTCAGAAACACCTACAAGTGTGGTTAAACAAAGGTGTAGTTAAAACCATCAACAGTTCTATATTTAGATTACTTTCATCCACAATGGCCACAAAGCTAGCATGGGACAATCTTTCCCTAGCACTTATCGGGTACCAACTAAATATAACGGCAAAGGTCTCAAAAACAACGGGTACTATAAACAGCAAAGGCCATAGCAGTTCGCTCAAACCAACCAGATAACACTGCATGCAAAAGAAACAGGTCAAGCCAGGATTGTTGTCCTGGCCTGCTGTCGAGGCTATCAATTCATAAATTCTGCATTAATGCTCTTCATTTATCTGATATTTAGCTTAGTGTTATATTGATGCATATTACACCCCTTACTGACTGCGTAGATGGCACAACGGCTAGGACGCTCGCCGACTATGCACATGGTCCAGGGTTCGATCCCTGACCACTGGACGCACTACCTTACCTCGCTAAGCCAGTAATAATACACTAGCAAAGAGGGAAGGTTTGGCATGAGGCTAGCAACCCCATTCTGTAAAAATAAAGACCACTACTACAGAAACTTCAAGTCTCTAGCTTGAAGCCCTATGTTCCACTAGGAACGTGAAGGAATAAAACAACACCGCTTAATGAATGCTTTTGAAATGTAATCTGTCGATACTATTTACCCGATGTAATATAAAACATTAATGTTTTCAATAGCAGTATTTTTTTAAAATTATTCCTGTCACATAAATGCAAAACCTGATAGCGGATTTATCCAAAGTAATATTATTTTTCGATTATTCATTCGTTTATATGCGGTTTTTGATTGTATGATGAGTATAGTAAGACTGACCTCTTGGAGTGACCACAGAGCCCAGAGGACAACTGATTGAGGCCGGTCAAGAACATACGGTCCGTCTAAACTAGCTCTTTAATTTCGTTCCGTATTAGTACTTTACCACCGGCTACAGACCACAGTAGGTGGGGTAGGTCAGGATGTACCCAACCACATCTCTCCAACACAGTGGAGCTACAGCATAGCTGGCTGGAATGCTGGTCATCTGAGTGAGGGAAACACCTTTCTGCCGTTACATCCCTATACTCACAGTAGTACAACTTTGTCCACAGACCCCCAGCATAGTGTAAAAAAACCGGTGGGTGCGTACTGTGGAGAGTCCCAAAGTAGGACGAAACAGCTGTCCAGTACTCCCAGGTTTTTCAATGGTTTTCTAACCAATTTCAGCTCCTGATGAAATCCTATAACCAAAAAATCTTACACTATAACAGCAATCTTCCTGGCATGGTAAGACCCGCAGGAAAATTAGTTTCAGCCATTGTAGCTCATATCAATGTAGCAGCTACCGGTTGGGACGTATATAATTAGACAAATAACATGAAATTTCCACCAAAATACATATTTGAAATGCAACTTTCATAATAGTAAATAGTAATGATAATAACTTTCATGAGTTGATTTGTGAAGATTAAATTTGTTTCTACGAGTTTCAACACGGATAGATATCCGTTAGAGAACTACTGAAAACCAGCACTGCAGTACTGGACAGCTGTTTCATCAGCCTAGTTTGGGAATCATTGGCGGTACGCACCCACTCCACTGGCAGGGTTCGAACCCAGGACCTTCCGGTTACAAGACAAGCTAGCTCGTCCACCATTTAGCAACTGACACCCGACTTCTCAACGGCCAGTCCATGGATTTTAACTGCTACCAATTCGTGATGCATTTAGCGCGACTGGTACCAACCAATGTCATCGGTGGGAAATTCACCCTCACACTTGACTGGCTGAACCTCACTGGTCACGACTTCTCACTGCAACTAACTCCAGGAAACTCCGTCCTATAGCCAGTCAGTCACTAGCGAGCATCAGATTAATTTTCAAGAGCAGTCCAATACTCCCTGGTTTTTAATGGTTCTCTAAATGATGATATCAATCCGACGTCAAACTCGTAAAAATAATAATAATAATAACAATAACATTTAGAAAAGAAACTACATACCGAACAGCTGAGATTCTAGTTTCTAGAACATAAGACTCCATTTCTGAACGACTAGCAGCCAGACATTGATAACCACCTATACAATAACTTTGATTGGTTGCAGTGAATATATTTGACGGATTATTGTTAGATGCAGTTGTACTGGATACAACCTGATAAGAAAAAAAAGAATACAAAAACGTGTCACGTGTTGATCAAACAGATAAAAAATGATTCAGATTTTGGGATGTAGACTACTGCGCGTGTGTGTGTCTGTTGCCAGGATACCGATAATAAACAAACAGAGAATTATGTAGAACTAAACAGCACTGTACAGATAGATGTTCCGTCCTAGTTTGTGACTACTCTTCATCAGTGTATACATCTAAGACCTAGAGAGTTTTATGTTACACGGTTAGAGTGTTCAACGCACCAAAATAAGCTGTTCTCAGTACTGCTTAAATTTTTCAATGATTTGAACAAAGAGAGAAGAAACATTGGCGCAGAATAATCTGGATCCATTTTATTTCATCGGTTCTCATCAGCTGCGTACAACCTGAATTCTTTAATAAAGTAAAAAAGTGTACAATTTTAACAAACTGTTGTCGATTAGCAAGCATATTGTCAGAGCATCATAGTGAAATAAGGCGTTACGATTTACAAGGTGTCTAGTGTTACGATATATATATATATATATCTTGAAAGAAAATGGTTATCCACAAAGTTTCATTAACAAATATGCCAAGAATGAACTCAAGAACCTTGAAACAACTACAGCCAGTAAGAAGCTTATTTTCACCAAACTCGACTACAAAGGCAACGACATTATGAGAATGGTAAATAAAAGATTAAGCGCAGCCCTGTCTAGGACGTAACCTTACTCCCCCCTTATTAGTCTCTCTACCCCGAACAACCTCCTCAATGATGCAGTCAAAGATTGACAAGTACCCCTCACATGTTACCTCCAACTGTGTATACCAATTCACACGTATCTGAGCGAGCAGTTACATTGGAAAAACAGAGAGGAGAGCCTACGTCAGATTCTGCGAACATGTACCAACGAGCCTCCGGTTAAAGGGACCGAATTGTTTAAGCTCTTCAATCGCCGCCAAACACCTGATTGACACAGGACACCGAGTAGATGTTCTGGAATCATTCAAAATAATTAACAGACAAAGTAGTACCTCAAGTCTTCTCAGGTTTGCTGAAGCTATAGCAATAAAATGATTGAAGCCTGACTTACATGTCCAAAAAGAATCCGCTGTTGGACTTCAGTTACCCTGGTAACTCACTTCTTAGTAGCTCTTTGTTTGCTAATTTTGTTAACTTATCTTTTCACTCCCCGCAACCCCTCCCCCGTTGATTTTTCGCTTGACTCTCTTAAGAAATAATTTTTGACGGAATATACACATTGGGTCATAGGAGTTATTAAAAAGACAATTTTCTTCGCTGCAATTGTCCTTTTAAATAATTTTTGTTGATCTTCTGAGTTCTGCTCACTGTATTACATCATCAACTTCTTATCTGACCTCGTGTGCGCCGAAATTTTGATCTTCTCTTATCTCATTACGTAACTATGACTAATTTTTTTTTGTTACCAACCAAACAACACAACTGTAAATTAATTTTTTCCAAGAAACTTCTCTCCAATAACATATATATATATATATATATATATATGTCGTAACACTTTAGAGACCTTGTAAATCGCAATGCCTTATTTCACTATGACGCTTTGACACTATGCTTGCTAATGGACAAAAGTTTGTTAAAATTGTACACTTTTTATTTTTATTTCATTAAAGAATTCAGGTTGTATGCAGCTGATGGGAACCGACGAAATAAAATGGATCCAGATTATTCTACGCCAATGTTTCTTCTTTCTTTGTTCAAATTTATGAAAGGGGATCATTGAAATGAAATTTTCAATGATTCTTCGCTTGGTATCAGTTTGTGTCAAAATCTGAGTTGAAAAATTGATGAGAACATTTTTAGCGAGTGTTACACACACACACATACGAACACACCAAACTACTGACTTTGATATAAAACACATTAACATAGTCTCTTTAATAACAACTTAATATTATTAGAATAAAATAATAAACAGTGGTGACTGTAAATTTCGACAAAACAGTACATAGAAGACGTGCTTTATCTGAATGAAACGTGTAAAAGTGTATTTGTGCAACCCATGTCAGACATTCTGATCACACACGCACACGCGTACTTTTCAGACAAAATTATACAAAAGGCAAGATAATATGAATTATTACAAAACAGGTCAGAGTGTGTACAGGTCAAGGTCACGAACAATGGCTAGGGCGATGACGAAAGAAAAGGAAGAATGGAGGGGTAGGAGTGAAAATCGGACATTAGTTCTAGATTGGATTACCAAGACAGGTTTAAAGTGATAACGGTAATAGTGTACACCAGGTCGAAGGTGAGGATAGTTACTCATCGAAGAAGACATTGCTAAATGGTGGCTCTATGTCGTGAATCGGCAGAAGTTAGAATTCATGGGTAGGTCATTGGATCTGGTCACAGTGGCTTAATCCCTTAGGGGCTCGCTGGTCTTGTAATCAGAAGGTCCTGGGTTCGAACCCCGGTGGAAGCGTACCGATGGTGAGTCTCAAACCAGAACGAAACAGCTGTCCAGTACTCCCACGTTTCCCAATGGTTCTTTAACTGATGTCAGCTCATGATGAAATCTTCCAACTAATAACAAATAACTTTCGGACACATAAGGCAGACAGGTTCAAGCCCTTTTTATGAGCAGGGTGTCAAAGAATTTAAGTATGTGACCCAACCTTGTTGTTATATATATTTTGTTTTGAACGCATTACTGAAATCAACTTTATGACCCATCTCTATGATGTGCTTCACTATGGATAATGTTGGGCATCTATCTCCGGGATCAGTTGTATCCGTGATTTTATTTGTTGTGGCAGCCACTTTGGAATATGTTCTGCAGCCCTAACCTGAAGGGACCGATGGGTCCTCCTTGTGTAAGTTTGTCCACACATACACGTAAATTGATAAACATAATGGGATGTGACAGTATCGTGAAGATGCTATGAGAGTTTACAGAACAACATGAATATTGTTTTTTCTACCAAAACGAGTTTAGCTGTATAGTAAGTGTCACTGTGAGTCCTTTTTTTAGTGATCAACCTTGAACGGTACGGATATATAAACATTCTTTTTGGGAGCTGACTAATCCCAGAAATATATGTCCAACATTATCTACAGTGAAACACACCATAGAGACGCGTGATAAGGTTGATTTCCATGCCTTCAAAACAACATATATATATATATATCAAGGTTGGGTCACATACTCAAATTCGTTGAACCCTTGGCTAAAACCTGTCTGCCTTATGTGTCCAGAAATTATTTGTTATTACTTTAAACCGGCCTTGGTAATCCAATCTAGAAGCAATGTTCGATTTACTTAATGATATTTTCACGGCCTGGAAACTTATAACCCTTCCTTCTTCGTTTATTCTTTCTTTCTTTCTTACCCACACCCTTGGAACATCTTCCTACTCATCACATGTGACCTTGACCTGTACACAATCTGACATGTATTGTAACAATTTATGCTATCTTTCTATGACGAAAATAATAAAAATTATATAGAATTAAAAGCCTCTATAGCACTGTTGTATAAAGAAGTAACGTCACAGCAGAGGCCTTATGTCGGATTCTCAATGACGCTCAAATTAAGGTGACATTTAAACCAACCAACTCTCTCAGAGATAAACTTTGTCAGCTTAAGAACACCCTCCCGATGGATTCAATTAAGAAAAATAACATAATTTATCAAATACCAAATAACGACTGTAAGGTCAACTACTTAGGCCAGTCAAAATAGTAGATCAGGGTCCACTAGCTTATTGGAAAATAAAAACGTAGGTCAACTTAAAATGACTGACCCTGCTAAGTGAGTTAGCTAACCTAGAAAAAACAGAGCTCAGCTATTGCACTACATTCACGTGCATGTAATCACAAAATAGGGTGGGTAGGACAGGGTGAGAATATTAAAAAGTAATATAGTTAGGCGTAGAGACAGAGGTTAATTCGTGAAAAAACCCCCATTCAAACATTAATTGAGATAAGACCAGTACTTCAACGAAGAGTCTCTTTTCGACGGATTCTAACTACTTAAAACTCACATGTAATTCCGTATTTTATTTTGTTTCCATGTACACCCTGAACACAACTCTTTCATCAAACTATTCCTGTTATTATGTAACTCTGTTTTAACAATCGTTTGTGACAAGTAACCACTTTTGTTACTACCCTCTTATATCAACATCCCATTCCTCTGAACGCCTTTTGTACTACGCAAATCTACCGAAAACTTAATAATTGTATTTTCGTTTGACAAATTTCATGTACACACACACACACAAAATAATCGTATAAATTTGCGATTGTATAACTGTGAAAATGAATTCGCCGAAATGACAGGTTAATCACTGGAGCCTTGTTTATCTGTTCAAAACCGCACACGTGCAATCGGAATGACGCAACGCCTATACTGGAGAAATGTAAAGTGGCAACAAACAACAATACGAAGTTGTATGATATTTCAAATAAACTTGTCTAATATGGAATTACATTCTACCACACGCAGTACCCAAGTTCTACACTAACATTAATAATACCTTGCCTTCTCTATAATGGTGAATGACAAGTACGTGTGTGTGTGTGATCAGAATGTCCGAAATATGTTGCGCAAATACACCTTACACGTCTCATTCAGATAATCTACATCCTCCACTTAAATTTGTTGAAATTCATTCACAAAGGGAACTAAATTGCTTTACATGACTACAAAGCCCACGGATATAAACCATAGTCACACAGACTACAAAAAATAAAAAACATATCATTGTTACAAACAACAAAATGAATAAATCCATTGTGGGTAAAAATTTATTTTGATAAAATTTCACACAGTATTATATAGTAATATTTATTGATGACGTATTGCTCTTAATACATTTACTCCTACTCCAAAAATAGGGTGGAGATATGTGGATGAAACTATCACTCACAGTGTTAAAAAACAGAACATATCTCTCTCTAGCTTCTTCACACATACATATAAACTCATTAGTAGAGGGAATAAAATTCACAACTGAATCGGAAAATGAACACGGAGAATTAGCTATAATGTTAGATTGTAAAATAAAACGAATAGAAGAAGCTAAATTGCACACTAGCGTTTATAAAAAGGTGAACGCATTCTGCTAATACATATTTAGGCTTCAATTCATCTCATCCGTTATCATTCTGTGTAGGCAGGATTAGTTAAGCGTCTGTCTAACACACCGAGCAGTAGCCCCTAAGTAGTACAAGAAAGGACCTAACTGATGAAATAAAACAGATAGAAGGAGAAGCATTTGTGTTGAATAACTATCCTATAAAATTCATTAGGAAGATCGAATAAGGTCAAAAGCAAAATAAAAGTAATGGTGAAACTAATAATGATAACATAAATAAGACAGAATATAAGGCATCTACAGTAGTTTTACCATGTAAGGAAGAAGGGGACATCTGAGACCCTCGCTGAGTAGGACTCTTAATAAAGCAAGAATTAGGCTGGTGGCATTTAAACCTAAAAACTCATTCAGGCAGGACAAGCTCTGTAGGCTGAAAGACCCGGTAGACCAAATTTTAAAAAAATAATATAATTTACAAAATAACCTGCAATCACTGTGAGTCAGGTGAACTACATAGGTCAAACTAGTTGGTCGAGGGTAGTCAGATTGTCGGAACGTACGAATTTGGTCTGTCTGTTTTCGACATAGAACTTTGCACCGATGTGCACCAGTTCAAGTCGCCACACTCCATTTAGTAAATAAAGCAAGAGAAGAAATGCATAATATAGACAGTAAACAGAGGTGAGAGACAAAGGAATAGTAATTACGAAGAACAAAACAGTTTAATTGGAAATCATAAGTCACAAGGAGTGGATGCATCTGCAACAGACATCGAGAACGATTTTGAACCATATCACCAATTGTTTCCAACCATTGGTTTTACCGTCCCAAGGACCCCAACCAGGAAGTCTTCACCTTCCTACGTGGCTAGCTTAGACTAACTGTTGTAGATTTCATTGACTGGTGCCATGTTTTGGTTTGACCGCAGCTAGCTCTTTTCCAGCCTGACCCTATGTCAGCTAACATTGCCCATTGTCGAGGAAGGCGATGACTAGGCATGAGTAACACATGTCCTAACCATCTCTCTTAATTGGTGTAACTTCACAGCCTCGTGTACTGATTTCCCCTCGTTACCTAGCACTCGACGCCTAACCTCAATATTGCTCACTTTAATATACCACTTCACGTGGGAGATAGAACGCAGACACCTATGATCGAAGACAGCTAATATTTTCATGTCTTCCGCTCTCAATGGCCACGTCTCACAGCCATAAATGAGGACGGAGCGGACTGCTGAGCAGTACACACGCCCTTTCGTCGATAGCCAGCCTGATATCACGTCCACGCTAGAGACGGCGTAAACTGGCATATGCGAAACTAGCCCTCTGTATTCGTGCTGAGATTTCGTCGGAGATCAACCCGTTGGCACTGGCTGATGGTACTTCACAAGGAAGTGAAGCGGTCAACGTGCTCTACCACTTCATTTCCTATTTGTAATCTAGGGGTCAGTGTAGTCCCGAACACAAGCAATAGAAATGACGCATCACTAATACCAAAAACATGGAAAATATTACTACCAATCAAATCAAGCGATGGAAAATAATGGAATTATATAAACGAAGTTAGAAAATTGTGTGAGTACCTTGATGATATGATTATGAGCGGCATTGAATTGTGCTCGAAACGTGGTCATCAGTAAATAGTAATTACTGTATAACACTGTGTGAGACTTTATCAAAATAAAAACTTTTTCTCCACAATGGAATTATACTTTACCGTCACAGTGCAGCACAACTTCTATTCTTATATTAATAAAAAAATGAATAACCACTTACTGAATGACTACTATTCATTACTACATCATTATTATTATTATTAGATAGATTTAATTCTGAGGCGGATTGCGCATTTGAATCAATTTCTTGTAAACACGGCACCAAAAATTTAGTTGGATACGGCACGCCAGTCGGTTGCATTACTTGACACAACCAGACATCCAGACGTCGAATACTTGCTTGAACAAGACAATCAATTTGAGCAGATTTGATAATTTTTATTGTAAGCTAATTCCGATGAGGAAAAACAAGAAAAAAAAGAGAAAAATATACACAGTTGACAAAAGCATCTTCAGAAGATTAGAGATAATGAAACTCCAAGAGAGAAAAAAGAATCGTTAAAGAACAAAGAATATTCTTCTCAATAACCTCCTCTTCGTCATTAGGTTCTTCTGTTATATGCGTCCATAATAATGAAAGAATTAGGGTTATCAACAACATTAATTTTGTTTAAATAACATCGAATCAATCGATAATATGAATAGATTACAGTTCAATAGCATCAACACAACACTGCACTACACTACACTGAATATCAGAAAAATTACGTAAAAGGATGATAATAATACAAATTCATGAATCTATAGTTTCCACTGAAGGTCGGCCAGGGCAGTAGTAGTGGCTAGCTGGACCTGTTTCTTCTGCACACACCGAGAGCACAGGTTGTTTCATGCAATCCTCGATAGACTCTGCTGTTTGGAGTACACACTACCTGGATGTTTTCGGCAATCTATTTGGTACCCATAGATGACGATGGAGGACTCTTCAATATTAGCTTTTTAGCCGGTTTGGACCCGGTAGTATAAGGAGAAATTTGCATCGGAGAAGCACATGGACAGGACACTATACACATTTACAAAACTTCCTTCCTCTCCAGTACATAAGAAATTTAATAAGGACCCTTAGTAACAGGGTTAGAGCTATATGCTCAGAAGAGGTAATGGAAGATGAACTTAGGTTTCATTGCATATCATACCTTCATTGAAAATAGCTATCCAGACAAATTCATCACGAAACATATGACCCAGAAAGTTGAAAAGGACTATTCACTATCCGTAAACAAGAAGCCTCTAAGCATACGACTGCAATTCAACAGCGATATATCTAGTGCAATAATTACGAAGAAGTTAAGAAAATCAGTTCAAAGAACTTTTAATGCTGGCAAACTACAAGTCTTATTTCAACACGAATAGTGGTAATTTCTCAATTGAAGGATGAAGTACCTAGACTAGACTAGCCACTTCTAATTGTATCTACCAATTCAACTGAGCTTGTGTTGGAGTGAGTTATATTGGCTGTTGCTCTGGGAACTTGATTTTTGGGCTCACTCGGAAACATCTACCAGTGTGGCTAAATAAAGGTGTAGTGAGAAGCATCAACAGTTCGATATTAGATCACCTGGTCCAAAACAGCCAATAAGCCAGCATTAAAGAATCCTTCCCCATCATCATCTATCGGGTACCAAATAAATTGCCAAAAACATCCAGGTACAGCATACTCCAAACAGTAGAAACCGCTATCGCGATTCGCCTGAAACAACGGTGCTCTCTGTGTGTGCAGACGAAGCATGCCCAACCAGCCACTACTACTACGATGGTCGGCCTTCAGTGGGGGCTACAAATTCACAAATTTGTATTATTATCAGTTTTCTTAATTTCTCCGATATTCAGTGTATTGTTATGTTGATGCTATCGAACTGTAATCCATTGATATTATTATTATAATTATTATTATTATTGATTCGATGTTATTTAAACAACATTAATGTTGTGTCGATGTAGTCCAGTCGAGTCCTGTAGCATCATCTTACATCTGACGGGAGAGAATCTCATGCCAAACAGTCAGTCAGTCAGTCAGGAAATCTACACCTCCATACTTTATGGATTTATTTCATTGACTGATGAAGCCATGTTTTCGTTTCACCAACACACCCCTAGCCAACTCTTTTCCAACCTCATTCATCCTATGTCAGTCAGTCAGGTAACATTGCCCACTGTCGAGGAAGGCGACCAATGACTAGGCTAGACTAGGCATGACTAACACATTTTCTAACCACCTCTCTCAACCGATGCAGGCAGCTTCGCAACCTCGTCGATTGATTTCCCCTCGGACTTACCTAGCACTCGAGCGATGCCTAAGCTTATTACATCACCTTATTATACCACTTAACGCAGGAGATAGAACGCAGACACCTATGATCAGAATAGCTAGTCTTTCTTTTATTTTATATATTATAATATAATGTACCTATCTGCATAAAAACTGTACTCCAAACAGCAAATTGAAAGACAACAATACTATACTCACATTGGTAACAAGCGTCCGAATTGTTGAACAAGACTCTAATAGTATCCGTTGGAATAAATTATCCAGAATGACATGTAGTGTATCTACTGACAGACTAGCAACCTAAAACACAATGAAAAGAAAAACGGGAAAACAAATGTAATACTAAAAATAATAATAATAAAATTATCCAAGTTTACCAGGCAGTGTTAATTAGGTCTTTAGAGGAAGCGGAAAACATGAGTGAGCGGAGAGGGAACTAGAGACCCCTCCTAACCAAGGAAAATAAACCCAATCACTATGGGAACTGAATAACACGAAAAATAAGGATATAAAACAGATACATGTGACTAGACAGTCATATAAAAATTAACACATTCATCTTTAGAAAGAGCAATGAGAAAACGTAATTTATCGTAATCGTGTGATGGCATTTGCACAACAAATTTCGAACAATCTGATCACACACAGACTTGTCATATAAATATATGTATGTGGAATTCATACAGTTAAGAGTTGAGAAAACAGACTTAGATCAAGTCAAAAGGACATATTGGAAATGAAAATAATAATGAAGATCGTCTCCAAACCAAACAAGGGAGGTCATAGTACATCAACTTTGCTCAGTATCAAAACAAAGTTTACCAAGGAAGGTGGTTTAGTCAGTGTGATGACAAATTGTTGCTTTGAACGCATAAATGTGGTTTCAACTTCCTTATTGCCAACTACAGCTCCCACAAAATTTATGATACGCCCTACCCTAAACACCTTCTATAGATAGGTTTAGAAGACGTGTGTAAACATCAATTTTATGTCCTGTCTCTATAAGATGTTTCGCAATAGAGGAGCTAGGTTGTCGTCTGTTCTCACCACTGATGGGTTCTGGGGGTTCTGTTTGCTTTTGAAGTCATTTAGGAATATGTTATGAAACCAGCCCTTACTTCGAGAGATCAATGGGTCCTCCCTCCTACGTGTAGGTGGTCACACGTACACTGAAATTGGTAAATACAGTGGGATGTGACATCATTTTTCGAAGGTTCTATGGGCTTAGATGGATATACCGGCTTCACATTCTCAATTATTATGATCTTAGTTGCATAAAAAGTCTTTTTAACCACACTGTTCAGCTGTCGTCGAGTTACCAAGCTGCTATGATCACCCATAAGGACTAGCTTGATATATACGTCTTTCTTAGTGGCGAGTTGGAGAGCGTGTCTTATGTGTTCCGCCCGCTTTATAACTCTTTATGAACTTGGCTGGATAATTATTATCAACCACAGTTTGTGTCAACTATCTTTCTTCCTCATCATCAAGTGTGTCTTCAATGCATATTCGTTGGATTCTACTGAGGAGGCACCTTACTAAGGTTAACTAAGCCGCAAAAACATTACACAATTCAGATAAAGTACTTCTTACTGCTTTTCACTATAATAGAGGTTTTTGGTATTTCCCAATGAATGAAAAACAAAACGATATTCGTGTTGTGTTTTACTGACGTATTGCTATTTAATGCTGCTGCAAATAGCTTTATCAAAGTAGTAGTATTATTAAACCAGAATTTACAAAATCCACTGAGCTTATATATATATATATATATATATATATATATATATATATGACAACTTAATCATCGTTCATCAGCATGGGGTCACTTTTGCGTTGTCCAGTTGGCCAACGGGTAAAGATAACAAAACCAGGTTTCTAAATTCATAAAAAGAATTAACCACTTCATATACATCTTTGTCAAGTTCATCTCAGGACATTTCAGGATGTGTTCTGTTGAATGTTATCGATAGAGAATTTGAGCAATTTTGAAATGTGATGTCTATTTCTGACAAGTCGCACATTACAATTTGTACTCTTCACTCACAACTCTCCACTTGCATCTCATCAGGCAAAACCAGAAGCCTATATAGAAAACTATATGCTCGCACCAGCAAGTACAAAATCTCAACCATACTCTACTTAGCTCGTGCTCTGTGCTATAAAGAAAGCATTAGGCGTGACACCTATAATTCATTAAATAGTCAGTAGTACAACTGGACCTCGTCTTTCCAACTCATATCATTTATAGGTACAACATTTTCTTTCTTTCTTTTCCTTTTCTCTCTCTTTTTTCCGTTATGTGCTGCTTTGTTTCTTTCTCTCGCTTACGCCAGTAAATATGATAGCACCTACTTTTCTAACACCTTCAAACACTGTTCAACTTTGGCTTCGCTACCGACATGCCAATATGTTGTTGTCATAATGAACTGAGATTTCCTTAATCTATGTAGAATTCTATTTATTGATAATGTACTAACTGGATGCAATACTGTAGTAAACAAAATGCTGAGAATTCCATTCTGTATCACAAGTACTGTTTTGGAATAAAGCAAATTATTATTATCATTAGTATTATTATTATTACTTCCTTAGTGTAGTTTAGTTAGTTAGTTAGTTGATGCAAGCATATACAACAAACATTGAGCTAACATAGTTATACTTTATTAAAGCTCATTCACAATCTTGAACAGATTGTTCATGTACCACTAGAGCTAATAGTCAGACACATATTGTTGGAAGGTTGATGATACGACCAGTCACCGCCTATGCTGCATTAGATGAAGTAGGATTCGAACTCGTGACTCATAAACTTTAAAAACCCAAGTGTTTATGCCAATGAATTAAATCTCTATAGTAAAGTAATACCATAAAATCTTACCGCCAACAAACTACTACACTGATCATGTCTAATATT